AAAAATGGGTTCGGCCATTTTTTTTTTTTTTTTGAGAGAGAGAGAGATTAGGAGATCAGCTGAATGAGAACTAGGTGATCATCGGTATAAATATACGTGAGAATTTGTCAACAAGAAGGCAGTTAGGGAGGAGTCCCTGGGACACTTGGTTCTGAATATTTTATGCATGTACTCTTCTCCTTGCTTCTGTGGATGATATTGCAGCAAAACATCTGCCCTCATTTCCAAAGCATTAACTAAGGAAGTTTAATTACCTGGCTGGCATCAGTGTGGAATGATGGTAGGCATGACACCCGAATATTTAAGATAGAAGAGCTGTCCACAGGAACGGCAGAGAGACCAAGTGCGGCAATGGGCTCCTGGTCAAGAAGGACCATGTCTGGGAGGAGGCTCAGGCACGCTGCCTCCTGACTAGGCAAGGGCTGTGAGTAAGGTTGTCACAGGCTGACTCTTTACAGTTGCCAAATCCCTAGGGATCAATATCCAAAGCTCCTCATTCGACAGACATTTTCAGAGTTCTTCTGATCCCTGGGTAGTGGAAATCTTTATAGATCAAGACAATAAGAGAGTCTAATCCCTGACCCTCTTGGGCCAGGTGTACACTATCCAGGTTTCTCTACTTGTTCATGCTTGCCTCCATTTTATATACTATATGCACATGTAGATGGAGTCTTTTCTAATGAATTCCGGGCTTTTTTTTTTTTAAGTTACAAACAAAAGCTTTTCCATCAAACTAATGACATCAGAAATAATGATTCCAATTTTAAGTGTATTCGGTATAAATAATTCATTTATAGATATACTTAAGGCATTGTAAAATTCAAACACTTGGGGGTATTTCAATTTTAGAGTCATTGAATGTTTCCTGCTTCTTAATTTCTATTCTCCATATTTTACACAGCAGAATCTGATATATTCTCTGTAATCAATTGTGACTGTGATCAATATAGACAGAATTCATGTTCTTTTTTAAAACTATTATAACCACCTTTTACAATTTTCATACAATAGATCCAAAGTATATTTTTCTTCACATTGGAGGCTTTGGATTGAATTATGGTTCTTCATTTTTAATTTTTGAAAAACAAAATACAAAGTCGCTGAAAGACAGTAGTGAACAGTTTTGTAAACAATCTAGTAGATTTCATGGATCAAGACTTCCTACCTTAGCTAAACACGAAACGCTTTCTTTCTTTCCTTTACTTTGGCATTGGCCTGCAAAGATAGCACCATTATCTGCATTTCTCAGGAAATTGCTAAGAGGCAAATGCTAAATTTTATAACAAGTTTTTTTTTAATTCTAATAATTTTTAAATTATTTAAAAATATTTAAATAATAAAATAAAAAATATTTAAATTATTTAATTTAAATTATACTAATACTATAATTTGAAATTGAAATTATAGGAGTATAGTATTAGACTAGTTTCAGGTGTATATCATAGTGGTTAGACATTTATATAACTTATGAAGTGATCACCCTGATAAGCCCAGCACCCATTTGACACCATAGTTATTACATTATTGACTATATTCCCTATGCTGTATCCCACATCCCCATGACTCTTTTTATAACTGGCAGTCTG